ACCTTCCCCCCCCCATCCCACCTAATGTCACCATGACTAATTTAGGCATTTCAAATGTTTTTGTCAAATAAAATTTTAAAGCTTAGATAGGACTTAAAAAGCTATGCTGCCTGCTCTTTTTCTTTTATTATTCTTTGATAATTTCATCCATTTTATCTACAGTAGCATAATAAGTACCGGTATACCATGATTAACTTAATCTTTTAAGGGAAATACTTTAGCCCCTGTCCCTCTCCCCATTAATTTTGCTAAAAATCTTACCTTTTCAATTTATTATTACATAAATTTATATTATTTTATAGATAATGTTGTGTGTGAATAATGAATACAAAGGAAATATTGAAAAAAAATATTAAAGTGTTCATCACGTGAGCCAATCATGTAAAACATTTTATTAGGTCTGTATAGAATAATATTTTTATTATATAACTACAAATAGAAAAGAAACATGTGCCCTCTTTCCCATACAGTACATTATTCTTGCACTCTCAAACATATAGGCCTACAGTACACTGTACCAACCTAACAGTACTGAACTCCAGTCTATGCACACCCAAAATGGTGTCTTTGATAAATGACTAAGAAACCCATTGAAATAAACTACCCGCATGCCTGCATAATTAGAACTGTTTACCAAAATCATATTTAGTACAATTAATGCATCTGAAATATTGTGTAATGGTCATTAACAAAAAATTATTAGTAGGCCTACATTCATTTTGAATATGTCGTGGGAATTGATCAGTTATTATACTGACGAATGAGACATCTAATTTAATAAAATCTTAAAATATTATTTATACAGGTGAAATGAACTTATTCAGATTCAATTAAATTTATCTGCATCAATGAAGTTTATTCTGCTTTCTAAATTTAATATGAATTTACTCCTTCAGTTGGTCTTGGTTTAATTGATGTATTGTTGATAATTAATTGTAATTTATTGTTAGTCATTTTGTGCCCATCTTCGTCATATTCAGCGTCTCATCATGTATCCACACATTTAACGCATCCTTTGTCCAACGTCGTTGATGTAAAAACGTCAAGCTGCAAATACTATCTAACGTTACCCACATTGCATTGTGTTTGGATCTGTCGCATCTCATTTCATGATAACTAATTCGACTGCATATGAACTTGAGTTATACCTATGATCTATCGATTCCAAACAATTGACTGGCCTTTCCGCGTGGAATTGATTATTCCAACGCCTCATTTGGTCTGCTCGCACAGTAACTGTTTAAACAAATTTATTTCATTTACGGTCCTTTGTTCATTGGCCTATGATTTCTTATGTCATTGGAATTATGATAAACTGTTCTATGCATTTAAATGAGGGAGCAAAAAAAACCTGCCGAAGCGTTTAATGATTTTTTTTTTTGCGCCTAATTTTCTGCTTCATTGGCTGATATCTGTATTATTCATATGATCTGCTAAACTTGTCATATACCTGGAAGGCAGTCTAATTACATGCTTAATTTAAAACTCTATAATTAATTGGTTGTTGTCATTAGGCATTAGATTAGAATTCTCAGAGAATTTGTGTTGTTCTGAAATATTAAAGCCCTTTTGAAAGGTTTTCTGAAATATATTGTATAGCAATTACTCATGGAATGTACTAATGTGGATTATGATATAATTATTTATTTATCACCTTTACATTGTAATCAAAATGCTTCTAAATATTCAAATCCCACTATAACATTAAATAGTGATGTATTTAAAATGCTAACTATTTTAACAAACATGTAGAGTGGTGTACAAAATTAAATTTGATAACTAAAGCTTTTAAAAAATATTTTCATTATCATCATTTACAAATCTTTATATTTTAAGAAAACGAGACATAAATGCTATCAATATGTCCAGTGTTTATTGCCAAGATTTAAAATACAATATTAATTTACAAAAGTGAAAACAAGGTTGCTATAAGTATATTTTATCTTTGAATAATAATTATTTGTACAATTACTTATTTCCGTGATACTTGATTGTAGATTTTATCAAAATCCGGTCCGTATTTTTATATTCTTTTTTCCTATTGACCCATCCTATAATTTATGTCGGCTAAAATGTTTGTGTAGTTTCTGTTATAACCATGATTAGCTGTTTCCTTATTCTATTAAATTTTTTTTTATTTGTAATATATTACAGTAGGTATCTTATATACCATTATGTAAACTTTATTTTATTATGATTTGAACTGGTGGCCATGCCCTTGTTTTCAAACTTATTTTGGTCTCCATCTACACATTTTACTGAGAGAAACACATACTTATAGATTAATGTTAAGAATTATACAGTGTTCTTTTCTTCTTACAGTATGTAAAATAAAAGTAAATATTTTAAATTATTCTTATAAATTGTTCTTGCAGGAGCAACAAAAGAGATTGGATCAGCGTTGACGAGAATGTGTATGAGACATAAATCGATTGAAATTAAACTAAAATCATTCACTGCGTAAGTAAATCCATATTTAAGTTATCTTGGTGGCTAAGATACATTGCCTCCTAATTTCGCAGTCCTGGGTTCAGAAATGTTTTTTTTCTCACAACAACAGATTATGTCTAAGCCTTATATTAAGACCTGCTGTGATTTAAAGCATAGTGAGCCCTGTGGGAGAACAGTAGATTGTTCCTCAACAGGTTCCCAACTATGAATTTGAAATGTTATAGATAAATTAATCTAGATACTCAGATTTCACACAAATTAAAATAACCCATCTTCGCTGAATTCATGCATAATGTTTTTACTGTTGTTTCCCTGAAGTCAACTGGTGATGTGTACCACTAACAGTATCACTCAAATCATATGTGTTAAGACAGCTCTTAACCAGATATCCCAGAAGTGACCTCTCCCAAGTTGAGACCCCATGCAAATATGCGTTGGAAACATTGGCCGTATTCAGCTGGTCATTCTTCATTAAGCAATGCCCACCTGCGCAGTGGGAAAATCCTACTTAAGGAGGACGACCAGTCGAATAGAAAACTGGTAAATACTCGACAAAACAAAATGGCTGCATAGTTTCTGTGATAGATGCTGCGTAATCAAGGTTGCTTCAGCTTTTGCCAGTATAGGATTTTTCGTCCAGTTTTTGAATTCTGTTAGCCTACAATTATTTTTTGGCTTCATGTGGGTAAATATTATAATTTTTATTTTCTGAAATTTAATCTAAATTGTATTAACGCAAATGTTGTTTCTAAACTGACCAATCGGCCATGTTTGTTTTGGTCACGTGGATAACTTAACGCTGCTTAATGCACTCTGGTTTACGTTATTTTCGTTGTCAACAAAGTCTATTTTACGAACCTGTTAAATTAAAAATTATACTCAACGATAAATCGTAGTCAACAAAATGAACCAGCCGAATAAGCCCATTGAATGTTCTGTAACTATATTCAAATTGTTTAAAGAAAGCCAACATTTTGTAGGTGTGACCAAACACCTATTACAAATCTTGTTTTTCTGACCTTTTTTTGTAGATCTTTGATGGACTGTTTGGTTTTACCACTCCAAGAAAAGGTTGAGGACTGGAAGAAGATCACAACCCAATTGGATAAAGACCACGCTAAAGGTATTAGATAAAAGCCGCATTTTCAATTTATGGTTCCTCTATTATCCTAATGTATGTAACATGAACTTATACTACAATATCATTGGTGTTTGCACTGTACCTTAAAACATCAAATAGAAGCCCTTTGGGCTTAATTTCAAGAAGCCTGTCTCAAAATGAAGCCCTCCCCTCTTTAGATTACATAAGTAATCTCAAAAAGGAGTCCATGGGCTTCTTTTGGAGTACAGGGTAGGCCTACAAACAGAGGTAAACAATGAAAAAGCATACTTGGTTTATTTAGTAGCTTACAGGTAGGTGATTTAATACTGATTAATAAACTACGATACAAACTGATAATCTCTCTGATGTTGTGATTGGATAAAAATACTCTACTGCGATGATTGCCTTGTTTTTTTTTAAACAGGATTTTATGGTTGAAAATGTTTTCAGGAGTCATTATTGTTTTATAGTATTAGTAATTATTAGTAATTCCCAAAATTTACTCCCTCTTTACTTTGCAAAGGTAGTCCAACAGAATCCCATCTTAAATAAGCCCATCCAACAGTCCTACAAAAAGAAAGAAGCCCAGGGTTTCTGTTCAAAGTTTTACCTTTTACAGTATGCACTGTATAATTGAGTGAGATTTAACCTTAAATCTCACTCATCTTGAAGTGATTAAGACACAGTGGGAAAAGCCAATCTGATAGCAAACATTATATACCTCATTCTGTATTACTTGTACAACTACTTTGGTATTCCATAGAATACAAGAAAGCAAGACATGAAATCAAGAAGAAATCAACAGACACACTTAGACTTCAAAAGAAAGCAAAGAAGGGTAGGTATCCATTCAGGCATAAACAATTGTCTCGAAAATCTTTTTTCTTGTTTGTCTTATTACAGGATAAGAAAGAGTAATGAACAACTAGATATATTTCACTGATAATAGTTACAGTATAATCATTTTATTTTCTCACGATATGAATACAGAGTTGACAAGAGGACTTACTTCATCGGCTGGTGTCAAGTGTTCTTTACAAACACCGCCCTCAGTGTTGTATAAGTCTTTTTGATAATTACCAAGTATAATGAATAATAGTCCACGTCCCAAGGATGAGATCTTTGTAAATATTTATTTTTCTTTTTTTTCCCTCAAATTACAACCATGTTGCCCTTGTCTGTATAAATATAACTAAGGATTATTTCTTATTTTCCCTCTAATTTTTTAAACCCTTTATTTTTGTGAGATTATTTATTACCTTAACTAAATACAGTATTGTCACTTAAACTCTTCAAGTAATAATTATGAATTTATTTGAATAATTATAATTTTGTTGAATACTCACAAAAACCATGTAATATAATGACCTGTTTTTTGGGATAATGATATTGGACGATAAGAAATATTTTTTTCTTAGGATATGCATTCCAGTACTCCCTTCCCCTTAGATATGCCTGTGCTAGAAAGATTGTTGATTCTGGTCTTGACAAAAGGTTCTAAACGTTTCCAATAACAAAGGCTATTTGCATTAGTTGACACAATAGTCTCATCATAACTAAACTGAAAGGTCGACCATTAAAGTAATACTAAACTAGTAAAAGTATACACATCCAGAAATGTCCAAAACGGGGAGCCGAAAGGGGAAAAGAGGGGGGGGGCCCGATCGAGATATTAGGGCGCTTTCGATTGCACGACGACAGTAGGACGTAGAACGTAATGATGTCACTAAAATTCATCTGCGCATGCGAGAATGTTAAGGTCACCTCGTCGAGTAGATTCTGGAACGCAATTTGGCCAAATCTACGTATGCAGAGAACGTAGGATGCCTGGTAGGACGGTCACACATGAGTGATTTCGTTCTAGCGTCGGGTCGTCGCACAAATCGAAAGCTCCCTAATACCACTATTGTATTAATAATATATAATAATATCTCGAATTTGTATGGCGCCAATTCCAAACAAGATCAAAGGCGCAACACATGTGAA